TAATGATTCTATGATTCTATGATTTCTAGTTGTACTGTTGAAATAATACATACCTCTGTAACAAAGATTTTCTCTGCAACCTCCTCCAAAACTAGGGGGACACGCGGAACAAGGGCGGCCAGGTTTATAAGGAGCATGACCCCACCAGTTACCCCTTTACATCAAAAAAAAAAAAAAAACCCACGATTAGCAAAACATGCCTTAATAAATGAACATTTTAACATTAAACAGCATTTAATATGTGGACAAATAAATACTGAAAAACAGCAAACACTTGGACCATAACACTGTTTTGATATACCAAATGCACAGGAAGTAATTGAACAGTTCATGAAGAAAAAAATGAAGTACTGCCATCAGCTGCTGTAAGATCTTTTTAGACTGGCATAGCACCATAAGACTAAATTCCTCAATTACATGAGAACAGGCTCCTCTCTCCTAAACAGAATATTCTATAGAATTTGATCTGAACCATAGGCTTCATGTTACACATTTCTTAAAGTCACAATAGGGAGATACATCTATTTTTCAGACAAACATCTCTGATGTTGTATGCTAAAACACAGGCCAGAAAAGTGAAGATCTAGAAAATCACAAGAGTATTTGTGCAGCCAAAGGCTGCCTTGGGAACAAAGCTCTGTAATAGTACAAAAAATAGAAAACCCAGAGTGATTTCCTTTCAGATTATTTCCTGGATTATTATAAAGTATCTTGCCCGCTCAAGATATTATTGGGTGTCAGCCTACTTACTTAGGAGAATAATTGCATACAAGATAGACTGCTTTTGGCCAAATCTGTCCCCAGATGTTCATGTTATGACACAAATTAATTGCACAACCGATTCTGCTACTTGTAGCCCAAACAACCTATGGAAAAGGAAAGAGAAAGGCATGTGAAAACCACAGCTGATTAACATAAAATCAAAACTGTCTCCAAACTTCAATGTATAAAACTCAAATCACAAAAGTGATGTTATATTCCCCTCTGTTATAAATGGGTTAAAGTGACCTAATTACAAGTGTCAAAAGGCCATTCAGTTACATCCTTATTAGAAAGAAAAGCTTTACCTTGATACGAAAGATATGGCTCTCATTTTATTTAAATGTCTACGCATGTATTTAAAAGTGTAGCAAAGTATTTACAAAACATGATCTGACGAACTGATTCTTGGAATTACAATTAATAGATAATCGTGAGTTAGAAGAAGTTAGGTTCCTGTGCCCTGCAGTTCTCAGCACAACCTAAGAACCCGAGGGGGTTAGATTGGTTAGACTGAGAGAACAGGTATTTGTCAGTAGTGAAAGGAGGTAACATAAACAATAAAACTATTCACAAAAAACCTCATACACCGAAAAGACTCAAGTCATGGATTTTAAATGAATATGCTTTCACGTCATTGCAATATAAGGTGGCTGTGCTGCTTTATTCATCTGTTGAAAGCATTTTCATTGCAGATCTCAAAATAATCTCAACAACAAAGGCTGGAACATTCAAATTAGACAAATATGACAAATATGCTAAACTTGTATTAATTCAAGATAAGCCAGCTGTGTAGTTCCAAAAGGATTTAGGAGTTGAAAGAGATAGGTACTGTGAAGAATTAGTACTACAAAGAACTAAATATATGTATTGTAGATCTCGCATGTAATTATAGGTATTTTTACAGAAATGGTAAATAAGAATATGGAGGTAATTCTGTCTTAAAATTAGATACAATTGTAAATTGTGCTAGTAAACAAACAAATGTTTGAAAATTAATAATTTTGAAGTTTTCTAATATTATATTGAATTTTATACGTGAATTTTAGTATAATCTGAGGATCACATATTTCCCATTCACTGAAAACATGACTGGCTCCTCTCTGGAAAAATTCAGGCTAGATTTCAGCAGTACCAAATAAATGACTTCTTATGCAATTTCAAAATCTTGCTGAAGTTAAAGCAACATGTTAAAAACTGTTGTTTCATCTGAGGAATTCACCTAAGAAAACCTTTTTTTTTTAAATGTGCTGTTTCTTCAGCATATTACAGAAAGGACTACCAGCATACCAGCACAGAGACTAGATTATACAAAGTGCACTGAGCAGTAACACTCAGTACTGGGCTTTGTGAGCTTTTTCGTTAATCCTGTTAAGGAAGTGATATTTATGAGGATGAAATGTAAAGATTTGTATGACAACCCTACTCTATGTCACCAATAACCAATGCTTGTAACTATGGGGTCTAATAACAACAAGCCCCTTTTGTGCTTTAGTGCTACGGTATATGCTGCAAGATTAATATATTCTACGTGTCATACAGCAAACTAACTGGAGGTCTTGACCGCTCTTTTCCATAGCTGACAAAAAACAAACCCACCTACATACCTGTGTGTAATGTGTACAAACAGGACCAGAGCATTTGTAAGGACAATATGGGTTGCATTCATGAGGATGGGGATACGTGAAATCTCTCACTTCATCATACCATGCTTGGACATGAAATGTTGGAGGTCTGTACCTATGAAAGCCAGTAGTAGTCTATTAGATCATTCAAAAGTTGTAGCTTCTATCATTCTACTTCTAAGCAAATTTTGTTAGATTTAAAAACAAAAAACCCATATATAGTATAAAACAGTATCTTAAATTACCTTCCCCAGTGTGCCCCCAAATTCTGCCCAATTGATGGAAGAAGGCTTGCAGGCCCATGCTCCCATAGACAGGTTTCAGCCCACGACTCCGCAGATCTCTCCAGTTCTGTGTCCCACGTCTGAAATTTGAAAGAAAAGAAGGGGAAATCTTAGAAATACTTGGTTGGTATCTCTTATTTTAAAAAAAAAAAAAAAAAAAGAGGATTGTCCATTTTTAAAGCTTCTGTTACCAGGGCAGAAGACTGAAGAAATAAGCAAGACTTGACAATTGTATGCCGCATTTGTGTTACATAAGGAAAAAAAGAAATGTTTTCACCAAGAGAAAGAAAAAAGTTTTAATCCCTGCACAGCATTCTCTTTAAAAGCATGTGCAGCCATGCTGCAGTGAATAAAAGACAAATATGAAACTGAAATGCTTAGTTCAACTATCCGAGCTAAATTAAGTGCATTTTCTGTCTTGTGAGATTTCTTTTTAGTAATAGGAACTTTTCTTAGCCAAAAGGGTATTATCCAACACACTTTCAACATAAGGCTTTATTTCCTCTAAATCAATAGTTTATTTGAAATGAAAGTGCTTTTCTCTCCTTTTCTATAATCAGCTTTTGTTGAAATAATACATAGTGCAAACACAAAATATGAAAACTAGAGTAAGGTTGTCATTCATTGGTTTTATAGCTAGGTTGGCAAAAAAGGAGGCATTCATGTTAGTAAGAGGCATGCTTAGGACAAGTTAAAGAAAAAGACTATGAATTATTGTTTATTACTATTGTTTACTCTTATTTTTCATTCTTTAAGAGACATGGAAGAATAGGCTTGTAGCTGAAAGGCAAATGCAAGTTTCTTTCTTTCAAAAGCATACTAAAACCTACTCTTCTTGAAACAAATGATACCATACTGTGTATGCATGGTTTTTACTGCGTTAAGCCGAGGTTTGCTCAAAGTGGTCCCTCTTGTGCAAAGTATCATACCGTTGCTTGACTTTTTAAATCTCCTGATAGTTGCAGAAGTAGTTTCCAGATATCTGACTCTCTGATAGCAACACTCAGCTTAGGAAACTGAAATATTTCCAGGAAAGAAATGCATTTCTTGATAAAAGCTCAATTATTTCATCATAAGTTCAGACGAAGTTTCTTAGAATGAGACTGTGTTATCTAAATAACAGTAATCAGTATTTCCAAACCCAAATTCCCATGCAGACACTGGAGATCATGTCTACAAATTTTTGGCACAGATTAAAGGTAAAAAACTCCTTAACACAGCCAAAGAATACAGAAATATCACAGACAAATTCCATGTGCTAGAATTTATTTTTCTATTGATTTTGACATGCAGTTTTCCCCTTATTAATCAGACTACTCATTAAAAACAAATATGTCCTCGGTTATGCAGGACCATGGTTATGTAAAGACTTTAATATCACTCAGTTTAATCCTAAAATATCTGTTCTTGGTTCTCTTCTTCAGAAGTCTTTAATGCATTGAATTCCATTTTGTCTGTTATTATTAATATTATCAGCAAATAAGAAATCTACAGGCTACATTTTGACTCCTAAAATGCAACATTTATTTTGACAGAATTACTCTAACAGTTTAATAATGACAGAATAAAGTTTTTAACCCACATATGGATACAAAACCCACTGACTTCAGGAAACAGTAGGAATTTTCTGTTCACCTTACTGGGCCTGTATTTCAATGTCATAAGCCATAACATTCTTTAATCTTCATAAGAAAATACTCTAATCTTAAATAAGGAAGTTTTATATGATAGTTTGTATAAATCTTTTCCTCTTCCCTTTCCTTGTCACACCGTCATAAATAGTTTTTCTTCCTTTACCCATTGTAAAAAACAAAGATTAACACACTTCTTCCACATACATATTTTTTTCTTATAAATTGTAGTACAATTTCTTCATCATTCTACAATGGAATCATGAGACTGTAACATTTTAAAGCAAATGCCACAATATATCCTCTTGTAAAGCATCCCTCCACATTTTCAACTCTGAAAATAGCAGTCACGGTTAAAGGAATTGTACTGTTGTTGTGGGTTTTTTTTCTCCACGCAAGTTATAAAATATTTTATGCAGGTATTTTAACTGAAATAATGATTTCTTCGGAAGATCAGAGCTAGGTAGTCAATAGTAGCTGCTTGAATAAATTCCTCAAGCTTGTGAAGTAGTTATCTTTAACAAAATTTTCTGTTAAAGACTGATGACAGCTATGCATGACAGAGCCATCCAGAACTCTACAAGAATAGCCTTTTGATGAAAAACTTAAATTCATCATTAATCCTCCTGACAGATGAACATGCACACACCAAGGTGTTGTTGAGATTGAACATTGTCTTCAAAAAAGTTCCTTCTTTTTTAACTGTTTCTCTGCCTTCATCCAAGTATAAAATACAGTCTTCACTCCCCCCTGCTTGCCTAGCCAGAGACAGACACACTTCTAAGCCACAACCTTAGCTGCAGCAAAGAAATAATCTTCATGGCTGAGCAGATGGCTGAGCAGCTCTTTGGAGGAAGCAGAGCGGAGAAGACAATATCAGCAACAAGGAGCTTGGGGTGCTTGGATATTTTTGCTCATTGCATAGTCATTCCTGACTCCAGAAAAGGTTGGTATATGAGCTAGAGAGCCAACTCCACTGTCCCCAAGAATGGGTTTGTGTGTGCCAGATTATCTCAGAGAGAAAGGACAAGAGGTCATAGCTTAAGGCTCATCATGAAGTAATCACCCTATTTCTTTTTAAATTAGAGTTTAAATCTGTCCCATTGTTGCTTTCCAGGGTTTTTATTTACTACTGTTCATGGTGAAGTGAGCCTCCTCATAGTGCACTTTCCTTGAAGCAGCTTCATTTATGATTCTGTTCTGGAGTCCTCTAAGACAGTGATAACATCAGCCTTCCTTGGTCACTGCCCTTCCATGTCAATCATAATGACAGGTCTGATGACTCCACAGAGTCATCAGTTCATTACATATATGAGAGGGACGGAAGGGAATGAAGTAGTAAGAAAGTTAGAACTGAGCTAATCACAATTTTTGGCAGTTTTCATTGAAAACAAAGAATGAGAGGATTAAAAACAAATTTTGTTTAAATTAAATTTTTTTCAATTTTCCTTTCTCTAAACAAAAATTTAAAAGTTTTCTAACTAGCATTAACAAGCTAGACAATTGTCATTTATTAGTGTGTCAAAGAAGTAAGAAATCTTTAAAATGTACTAAGAAAGTCATTAGTTAGCCTAATGAGATACATTGTTTTAATTAGCATGGTAAATTTTTATATAAAAAGATCTTTGCATTATTTATTCAGTTATCAACTGTTCTCTAAAAACAGCTTTAGCAATCTAATCTTTATAACACTGGAGAAAGAATATGATTTTTAAAACTTGAGGAATTCGTATTTCAGCACTTTTGTAAAATGCCTCTGATACTGTCTCATGGGAACTGTCTCGTAAATCAGAATTTAAATACAAGCATAAAAAAACAAGTATGTTTTTATCAAAAATATGCTATAAAATTTCACAGCATACATTTCATACAATCATTAATTTTGATCTAAGTTTAATCACTAAAATGTTGATTAAAAGTAGTGAATAAGAAGTTTTATGATAAAAATAATCAGAAATCTAACAGCAAATAGTTGCTGCTGAGTAAGGATTGAATTCACCCAATTACACTGCCTAACCCAAACACACGGTAGGCTGACCAGTCAACAGATAACCCCAACTTCAAAATGTTATGAGATACCTGTAATGAATCAGATGTCAAAAAACCTGCATATATATTTTGGGTTTGCAGCAAATGATGCCATATGTCTTGCTTTTCTCCCCGATGCATGTACCACACAATAAAGTCACTCCAGAACAGTCAGCTGTTCAGGAAATTCTTTGTGTACGCCCTAGAAGAAAGGACTCATTCATTTGTTTCTCAACCTTTAACACCTAAATCCCTTATTTCTAAAGCCATATACAAAAACTACCTGGCATGGATACCATGCACATATAGCTAGCATTGTTTATTGTCAGAAAATGCTGCCTATTACCCTGCCAGCCAATGCTTAGTTTGATCCAGGGTTTTTTTGGATGAGAAGGAGGTCATGAAGAAATATCAACCTACAGTACAACTTAACATTGCTTCTTCTTCATCAAGGCTATGTTTGAGTTCAAATGTGCTCAAATATACAATGGCTATTGTTAATGGAGCCAGTTATTTCAAAGCTACTTCAGGTATCTCAGTCCACAGTATGGAGGTACACCAAGTAGACTACCAAGATACACCTTAATTTATTCTTCATTTTAATTATTTAAGTATTGTTTTGGGGTGTGATGGAGTAAATCTCAAAACCATTACATATTCAGATGTAAAAAATCTGTGAAGTGTAAATCGCATATAGGAAACAATCTCTTTAATTGCAGCATTCATCATCCAACTGTCTCATTTTCTCATCAAAGCCACTGCTTCCTGAAATGTCTGTAACAGAAGTTAGAATTAAAATAAAACCTCTCCTAAGTTACATCAAATCTATGAAATATTCTGGAAGAAATGACCCAATGTTCCAGTTCCAAAGAATTTCCTAGAGATCCAAGACACTTTCTTGATTGCCAGAGATTTTCAAAAGAAAATTAAAAGGGGATAAAACACCAATAACCTCCTAAAGTCAGTAAAAAAAGGTAGAAGGGATTAGAAGTCAGAGTTACTTGGATGTCCAACCCCTACCAAGACAGAAGTAATGCAACACAACTCCAAATCACAATGTAGAAATGAAAAAATTTTTCACAATCTCCAGGATCACTCTAATGATTTTTAATTAAAAAGGGGAAACTGATATCCTAATTTCTGATACAATTCTTGAGAACACTTTATCTTAAATTTGTATCTGACTATTCCAGTGATGCAAAAATTTTACACAGGTGTTAATAACATTATGAACAGGTATGGAATTTCTCAAAATAAATTAAAAACTTGTAAAAGAAATCTGACAGACTGGAATCCCATATCACACCTAACACAAAGTAAATTAGCTTAAAGGTATTTTTAAAGGTCATTTCTACAGTTACATGTAGTTGGAATTTAAACAATTCAAAGGGTTTTCTACTGCTTTGCCAACATGCCTAATC